AAGTTGGACCAAAGTGGCGGCTTGTAAGTGATGTGTCTCATACACTAAATCTGTTTATCATGTCTTCAAATTCACAGATTCTATTTACTGACCATAGTTTTTTACTGTAATRCTGTCTAATTGTTGTGTTACATGACATAATGTTCTGAAACAGGCTTCACTTTTCATGACTGTTCATGGTGATGTGTCTGCTCTGTTTGTGTGTGCATCTGCCTTCACAGATGCTGCACAAAGCTGCAGTCATGAACGCCACCACAGAGGTAACCCAGCTGTATCAGAAACCTTTGAAAGTCGTGCTGTCCATGCTGCCGTGTCTTTTCTTCCTGTACGTAAACGGAGTCATGGTCTTTGCCTTGCTGAGGAAGCCTCTCTTGCTGGAGTCCTCTCGTTATATCCTGTTTGCTCATCTGCTCCTYACTGACTCTATGCAGCTTGTGATCGCTATGCTGCTGTACATMTTTGCTGTGACCATGGTCAAAATGATCAGCTATCTGTGTGTTGTTATCACAATGATTGCMGTCATCRCTSTRAAATTGTCGCCCCTCAACCTGGCTGTGATGTCTTTGGAGAGGTATGTTGCCATTTGTTTTCCACTGAGGCATGTAGATATTGCCACCACCAGGAGGACAGGCAAGGCCATTGCTGTGATATGGACAGTGGCCTCTTTGGACTCGGTCACCCAGGTTTTCGTGTTTGTCAGTCTCGAGAACAAAAGCTTCACTGTGCCGAGGTTCTGCGACAMGAACAATGTCTTCAGGCTACAGATTTTTTCYACTTTAAACATGGCCTTCAACATCTTGTATTTTGTMTTGGTGGGCTTGGTTATCATTTATACATACGTTGCTATCATGATTACTGTGAAGTCGGCCTCCTCCTGTAATCATAACGCCAGCAAGGCCCACAGGACAGTGCTGCTGCATCTGCTTCAGTTTTGTCTGTGTCTCACCTCCACTCTGTTTAGCATGATCGACTCCAGAGGCCAGTGGAACATTGATCGTACCATGGCCATTCATGTTAAGTACACTCTCTTTTTGGGTCTCATCATTTTTCCCAAGTGTTTGAGTCCTCTCATATATGGCCTCAGAGATCACACCTTCAAACACATCTTCATATTCTATTTCACCTTTGGGCTCAAAAGCAATGTGAGGTCATTTACCAAGACCTGATTTCAAATACAGTAAGTGTGTTTATATCTTTTCTTTCATAATCATGTTTTGGATAAGTACCTTTATAATTGTTTTGTATTTTTCATGTTGTATGATCAGAAATGAATTTAATCAATATTATGTTTGTTTTGCAGATGATGATGAAGAAGAAATGGAGCTTTTTGATCACAGAAGTCTTTACATACAAGTCAGGGTCACTGTTAATGTTCCTCATGAACTACATGTTGATAAAAATTATGAAAAGCTTTTATATTAAACATCTCAACTCTGTCATAACATTCCTGATCTCTCCACTTAGTTTGTATAGTTTATGTTCATTATAAATATGTTTAGGTTTTAAGTAATAATGTTTAGAAAAATCATATAATGAGCCAGAATGCATGCAGAGGGTTTCAGAAGTATATTATTCACTTTAGGTTCTATTCTTTTAATCCAAAATAGGATTGATATATATTCACACATTTAATTAACTGTTTGTGCCACATGACGGGAAACACAGTATCTACAACAAATGCTGAAATTTCATTATTACAGGGGAAAATATCAACATCAAAAATTTAAAGCTCTAATATCTTTATTATTCACAGATGAGGTTTGTTAGTGTTTCATTCACATCATTTTGCTTCAGTTTAATGTAATTTAAGTTCTTTATTCATGCTAGGATCATTAATAATTCTGCCGTCTCTTGACTTTCACAAAACAATTTTAATGAACCTATATGATTTTGGATGTTTTGTGTTTTTAGGTAAATAATAAAAAGGATAACAAGCTACATTTCTTAATTCAATTTGCCTAAAAAGTCATGTATTCAGCTTTTATGCAGAGAATTTAATAAACAGGACTATCTAGCATGTCATCGTCAGTTGCCATTAAAGAAAAATCTTAATTCAGTGAATAATAATAATAATTTTATTTCTGCCGTTTTAATTCCAAACAACAGCTTTTGCCAATAACAAGGCAAATGGAAAGAGTTGAAAAAACAGATTTACACACAAATAAAAAAGAGAATCGACATTTTAATTTGATATTTATTTGAATTTATTTTCAGCTAATTAAAAATACCTTATCTAATGGTGACATTTCAGCACATGACCTGAAGTATGATTGGACAAGTCAATGTTTTAAAGTTGTCTCTTGTATGTTTGGTTGATTTCAACCCAAAATGCAATAAATCATGAAGTTACAGCGACACTGACATGAAAGTGTAAAATGCAACAGGTAAAGTCTGAATCACAGTGAAAATAGTTCATCCTTTTAGCCAGCAGATGTCACCGTTGCCTCTTGAATAGTTGTAATAGTTGTTGTCTGTGTGGCTCCAACTGCACCCATCTCATTTCAATCTGCAGTATGTACTTATGTTCCACATGAAGAAACCTTAGTGTGATTGTGCAAATTAGGGGTGTTGACGGAAACGAATGATATTATTGATGAAATTCCTTCCCCCTCTTTTTTTTCTCACAGTCCAGATGGACACTTGTGTGGGGGAACGTATAGAGACAGAACATAGAGAACAACCAATTTATGTGGGTAAACAGGGAGGGAGGAGCTGACCTGTGGAATAAAAGAAGAGTCTGAGCAGGAGGTGGACTAATTTAACCGATCTTTACCCCACCACAGTCCTGAAGCCCCTTCAATACCTCTCTGGCCTTCAGTAAAGAGCACTTGAGGGGGTGAAAAACATTCCAGAGGGAGAGAGTACCTGGTGACAGTGAGAAGCTTTAGTTTGGAGCCAGAGCAGAAAGGAGACGTTGTTATCATAATCACAAGCTCCTTCACATCCTCATCCAAGAAAATGGATTGTGTGGTTTTGGTTTAATTGTGGCAAGGTTTGTGAAGCAGCATCAGTTTTAGTTTTGGACACGCTGCGTTCTTATGTGTAACTCTCTCCACTGTTTTTCACTGAGATGTGGTTTGAGGGAAATGCCCAGAGACTTTTTCTAATGACATCTTTGTAAAAAATGTGTATAGTGTGCTTTTTGGGCTACATGCAAGTAGGAACAGCTGCTCTCAAATGTTTTATGAAATTATCAAGAGGCCAATTTTAGAAACCTTTCACAGTACATATACAGGGAATGGGCATAAACACTTGACAAAACAATGCATCCTTTTACTATAACACTAAGCCAGAGAAACATTTCAATAAACACCAAAGATATTTTCCCAAAAAGGAGGTGTCCATGAATGTTGTGTTTATCACAGGACTACTGTGAACAGATTTGCACATGCGTTTCTGTCATTTTCTCCATCTTCAAACACCAGTGGTTTCAGAACATTTTACTGTTTTTGTCGATTTGGCAAGTTCTTGTAGATTAAAAACAAATGGAAATCAAGTAACCAAAATTAGCTCCTGACAGAAAAAACTAAAAGTGGAATAATGGAAAAATCTGCAGCTGCAGTCGAGGGGTTGTGGGAATGTCAGGAGGAAACTTTATCATGTGTAAATGTTAATGTGGCTGTGATTTTAAAAGAAGCCTCTAAATCGAATCATATCTTTAAATCTGCTTTTCTCTCCCCCTCATCACAGATTCTTTGTCACGGCAACATATGGCTTTCAAGTGGAGGCTTTACACTTGAGGCAAAAATTTTCCGACTGAACTTAAGAACAATGGGAATATTTGATTTTACCCACTTGAAGACAGATTTAAAAAGAGTACATGCCGTTATGCTCGTGTGCACATGCACATGCACAAAAAACTTCTGCTCAGTCTGTTTAACAGTGGAATGGGATGGTGGGAGAGTAATTGTATCCCTCGTGGCTCTCCAAAGGACAGTACTGAGACTCAAATTAAAGCACTGACCTGGTTAGCTTCTGTCAGCAGGAGGGGGTGCTGAGGCAGCCCCACAACCCTCACCCACCCCCATCCCATCCCACACACAGTTGCATTGCAGAGATTAACTTGTTGGCTGATGGGCTGCAACTCAAGCTACAAATGTCTGCGTGTGACAGACGCAGTCTTATCAGACCACCGGGAGAAAACATTACAATTCTTTGACAATTGCCAAATGGAAGCAAAAGCAAAGAATAATTCTACCTATGCTTTTCCTGCTGTCACTTGTATAAACTTGAATTCAAAATATAGCTGATGTCAAAAAGAGCATATTTTCTGTAAATATGGGTGCAGGTGCATGTTACCACCCAGTTTGTGAGGGGTCAGGGAGACAACTTAAAATGAGGTGTTGGTTAAAAATCAAAGTTATTTATTAAACTTAAGGGCAACAGGACAAGTTGGAGCAGTTTAAATCAAATAAATAAATAGAGAGGACCAATGCATAATGCAGTGATTGAAAACTAATGCAGGATTGTTGTTTAAAGGGTCAGTCAAGTGAGTTCCGATTCTTTTTCCACAAGTGTTGAGAAAATACTCTGAACAGTCTACAGATTGGATCATTTGTGGAAGAAATAGGTTGTTTCCAGTCAAAACGTTGTTTATTTGAAATGTTCACATGATGGCCTCATTTGCCTCCAAATGGATCCTTGCTCCATTCCAACACATTTTATTGAAATCTGCTCAGTGATTTCAGAAAATCTCGCTGACTGACATAAAAAAAGAAACGCACGTTCAGCTCTCAATGAAAAACAAAGAACAAAATGTGTCTCCAGAGGAAGAAAGAAGAAGAATAAAGTCATTAGCAGGAATCAATATAGATGTAGGGTTATCAACAGAGATGACGTAATGTGTATGCTAGTGGTCGCTTCCTCCAGGGGGGCTGCTTCTGATGGAGCCTCGACAATAGATCGTTCACTGCTGCGGTCAGGTGAGCTCCGGGTCCCCCCGCTCCACGGAGCAGATGGTACAGCCCGCATGCAGTTGATAGTTGTTGCTGAGGAGGTTCCTGCTCACACCGTCCAACCTGCTCTCCGCCCGGGTCCTGTGGCTGCAGGCTGCGCTGCTTCTCCAACATGCCCCCGTCTGAACAGCGGAGCCACCGCGGAGGACGCAGCGTGGTCGCGTTGCTTCACATTTTGTGCAGTATTACAGGTGAGCCCTGTTTTCTTCCCGCTAGCCCTTTTCTGTTTGTTCCGCGGACGCTGCACAGAAGTTTGGAGAGGGAGCTGCGTGTCTCTCGCTCCGAGCAGGAATCCCGGGGAAAACCGGCGACCACCGCGTGCTACCACCGGCGGGATTAGTAGAAGTTTATTAAGTTTAGCAGGTATCCTCTGTAGGTTTAAGTAAACTTGGTTATAAGTTGTCAGGGACGTATTGGAAGAGGTAGCTAGCCGGCAGCACCACCGCGGATGATGGTGCGACCCGAGGCTGCCATAGAAACCCTCCATAGAAACCCCTGAGGAGCAAGCAGCCATATTCATTAACGTATATACAAATCCCCAACCTACATTTGGCTCAATGCAGAGTTAGTGGGAGACATATTAGCTTCAGATGCATTTTCTGTTAAAGTTATGTGGTGCTGCGGTTTGTCTAAATCTTCCAAAACTGTTTGGGAACTTGCACGTGTGCCACGAGAGGTGACTGCACGTCTGCACCTTGCAGGTGGATGAGGATCAGACACCATGTGTCTGCAGTTCAGACTGAGCTGCTCAAGTTTGTGTGAGGGAGAAGCAATATTTGACAGGGTGTGTTGCCTGGACACAGGGTTTCTGCACAAAACTCAAAAGAACAAAAGTCAGAACTGAATAAGTTCAGTTATTTATAAAAA